TCAGTTCTAGCGCCCTTGTACTGATTTTATTAAAGGTCATCTTACCCGTGATCAAGTGAAATTCAACCATGCACTCAGTACAACAAGGATGGTTGTACAAAATGCATTTGGCAGGCTAAAAGGAAGATTCAGATGTCTTGGTAAGAGGCTAGATCTATCTGTGAAGATCAGCATCATTGTCACTACAGCCTGTTGTGCACTTCACAACTATTGTGAAATAAGAAGAGAGGAGTTTTATCCACAGTGGCTGAATGGGATCCACATCCACAACAACATCAATCCAGTCCAAATCCCTGACAGGCATGACAGAAATGCTGAGGCAATAAGAGATGCTATCAAAAGCTACATAAGATAGAAAGAAAAAAAAAACCTCCTATGATGAACATTTTATTTGTAATTTTGAAGGAAACTATTTTTAAAGCGTACAGATATAAATTGTGTAGTTTGCACATCAATATGTACATACATAAACTGAAATGCTAGCTCAGTTGTTTCTTCTTGGCAAATACCACATGTGCAATATTCAGTGCTATCATTTAATTGTACAAATCTCTCAAGACAGTCATGCATGCATGCAACTGTGTATAGTTTGCAAGCATTGTTAAAATCAGGGACTCGCATAATTATATGCAAGTTTAATATTGTTTAGAAATTCCACCTTTTTATTGTAGAATTAATGATTAGAGGCCTAATATTCTCAGTATTTTTTCATTATTTTTTAATATTTTGTATACAAAAAAGCACTATTTTTATAAGAAGTTGGTATTTATTCTAAATATTGCTAAAAATGATAACCGATAAGCAARGTGATTATGGGTGAATAGTAAATGTTACAGAGCTACAAATCCATAAGCAGTACTGTAACTATTCACCAATATKCACTTCGCCTGACATGAATAACAATTTTTGTTGTACTCCATTAGTGCTTGRCATTTGCAAGAATCTTTATCTTCAATAGAAAACAGTTGGCTGCTCTCCATGACAATTAAAAAGATTAACTTCTAAGATGCCAGAAAGAAATTCAAAAACTTTACTAATTTTGAGATGCAAATGATAAATGTGGCTGTCATGTACAAAAATCAATATGCAAGGCATGCATGTTTGTCACCTACAATGTATCTATATCAAAGCTSTTTACATGTGTATATACTGGACTGTTTGGGTCTATTATATGACAAATGCATTATCAATGTGATCAAAGTGGTAAACATTGTGATTTTATGTCAGTGTGCCACATGTATGTACAAGTTTGTTACATTTCCAGTTACATTAAATGATCAAGCTTACATCAAATACCAATTAGATGTTGTGAAAACTTGTCCAGGAGGTAMAAAAAAGAAATCATTGGGTTGATCTGAAGCACACATTCGCATTGTAGTATATACTAACTATTTAGACAGTGTGGTTGTAAAACAAAAACACAATGTGAGACACGTATGAAATGAATATGTATTTTACAAGTGTTTTGAGCTAAATGTGTAAGCTTTTTTAATAACAGTATCTCACAAATCAAAATGATCAAATGAAATTACCAATAACTGGAAGTTACTTAATATGAAAATGATCTTTTGCAAATAGCTTTTGATTATACTATTTTATAAATTCAATGATTCTTCACAGATTTTATTTCATCGAAAAACGCCAAAAAAATGTTTGGACTTAAAATGTACACGCGACTTCAGTAATAATATTCATAAATGCATAAATAAAGTTTTTTGTTTTCAGCAAACTTTATAAAAAAAATAAGCTTTTACTTTTTCAAAACTGAAGCAAGTCTCCTGGTCTTCCTTTCTTTTCTTTTCTTCTCTTTCCTCCTCCCTCTGTTCTCTCTCTCTCTGCTTTAAGGAAAGCCTCATCCTTTGCCACTCCATGAAGTCCTTCATGACATCATTCATCTTTGTCAAAACCATTTCGTTTGTTGTTCTMCTCTTCTTATTCTTTGGCAAGTATTTTCCTATTAACCAGAAAAAAAGATAATACAATAATTTCGKGATATCTCCTTTGTGTTAACTTACGTACAAACACAAAAAATAAAGTGCAAARTAAAGTTATAAATCGAGGTTGTTGTCCTCGTCCGCCATGTTGATCACATGATAATATCTCACATGACAATGACATGTGACTACCGCCATTGTTAAAAATGTAAACATTGTCACGACAGACTACTTACCTTCAGGAGTTGTCTTCTTGTTTTCTCCGTCTTTGTCTATATGAGAGCTTTCAGCATCTTCTTCACCGGTAGAGTCGTCTTCGTTCTCCTCCAAGGTTTCGTCTTCCTGCTCGTCCTGTTGTTGTTCGCTCTGATTTCCCTGTTTTTTCTGCAGCGAATTTACTACTACGGCTGGTCTGGTGAATGGTTTATCTCCAAGAATGTTATCAAGTTCGTCGTAGAACGCTACTTTTGTTGGCTTTCCTGTTCCCGACTGAGAGCATTTATCTTTGTATCGGCGGTAGGCTGTTACCAGTGTGTGAATTCTGGTTTTGCAAGCTTCGCCTTCCCTATCCTCAAAACCTGATGCTTTCAAATGCAGACTGATGTCCTCCCATATCGCCTTTTTCCTGTTGCAAGACCTAAGCCGTTCTTGGGTGTTGTCATCGCCCCAAATTTCTATCAGTACAAGCGTTTCGTCCTTCTTCCACGTCCTCCCGCGTTTGGCCGCCATTTTTAAACAACCGTAAAACTACCTACACGCGCGCACGCGGTGTGAACGGATACCTTGATTAGTTAAACGACTTTTAACCATGGTTAAGGTTTGGTGTGAATGGGATATTAGTCTTCCATAGCATCTCACTAGACCTTCTGAGTCAATCTTTAGTCCAAGTTGAGTGATAAGGTTATTTCTCTTGTTTGCCATGATGTCTTCTATGACTGTATGAAATGCTCTTCTTTGTATTCTTAGTTCCCATAAGTCTCTTGCTTTCTGGAGTTCTTGAGCTGTAACGACACCAGTGTGTTTAACTTTACGTTTGAGTCTACTGACAATTCGGAGGGCTAGTGCAGTAACTCGTAGTAGCTTTGTTATGGTACAAAATCTTTCTTCTTTGATTCCAAGGGGAGTTTCTAGTACGGTTCTTTCACTCTCATTTATCAGACTTGCTTCATACATTACTTTAATTTTCTTGGACTCAGAGTTAAGTACATTAGTATTGGGTTCTTCGATTGACCACGTGGGGCATGTGCATTGTGGATTGGTCAGCCACTGTGGGCCATTCCACCAAAGTGAGCAATCTTTAAGTTCAGCTGTAGTGGTACCTCGTGTTGGTAGGTCAGCTGGATTCTCTTGTGAAGTTATGTATCTRAAGGTGATATTGTTGTGTAACTTGATTTCCTTTATAGAAATGAAAGAAAGTTATAGTGCTTAGAAGGAGGCAATTCCTGGAGAAGTCCCTTAGAAATAAATTCGGAAAAATTAATATCCGACCTCGCTGGGATTCGAACCCACGACCTTCGACCTTCTAAGCACTATAACTTTCTTTCATTTCTATATCGTGTTTATCATAGTGCCATGCGGTCTTCATATTCATATCTTTACATTATTCTATTACCGCAACTTTAACATCTATTTCACCCCGACCTGCTCCCAGTCTGGCCTTGTAGCTCAGCTGGTAGAGCATCGGTGTAAAATCCGAAGGTCGTGGGTTCGAATCCCAGCGAGGTCGGAKRTTAATTTTTCCGAATTTATTTCTAAGGGACTTCTCCCGGAATTGCCTCCTTCTAAGCACTACAACTTTCTTTCATTTCTATATCGTGTTTATCATAGTGCCATGCGGTCTTCATATTCATATCTTTTGATTTCCTTTAATCGGTTTTCCACGAAGACCGACAGTTGTTTATTGAAGTTCATCCAATGCAGTACGCATTGTGAGTCAGTCCATAAAATCCTTTGTGCAATGTTCAGTTTCAATTGAGTTTCCACAAACTCAAGACATCTAACTCCAATTACAACACCGAGTAGTTCCAGTCTAGGAATAGTTAACTGTTTTGTTGGGGCAAGTCTTGACTTTGAGAACACTAAGTGAACAGTTGAATGCTTCTTGGTTTGAACAAGTAAGTAAACTGCAGCTACATACGCCTTTTTGGAGGCATCAGTAAAGCAAAGTAATGTGTACGTTGCGGATTTATCAGTGTCAATGAATCGTGGAATCTGTATATTCTCAATCAGCTGTAGTTCTTTGAGTATCTCAGTCCATTGTAGTTGATCTTCTCTAGTCAATTCTCGATCCCATTGTTGACCTTTATTCCATAGATATTGAAAAAAGAGTTTAGCAGGTAAAGTAACAGGTGTAAATAGTCCAAGTGGGTCAAACACGGATGACACTACTTGAAGTACTCCTCTCTTGATTGTTGTATGACAAGGTGTCAGTCTGGCCGTTGTTAAATTATCTTCTGTACGATTCCAGTGCATGCCGAGTACTTTCACCGTTTCTTTGTTGAGTTTGTCTTTCTCTGGAATGTGATGCATTAGTTCGTCCGAGYTGGACGKCCACTMTCGTAGATTCATAGAAGCTCGTTCGAAGATTGCTTTGCTTTGCTTGTAAAGTTTGACAGCTTGTTCGATGGTATCAGTACCATAAAACACGTTGTCTACATATATATTCTCACATATTAATTGAGAGGTTTCAGTTCCTTCTTTGTCTAAGTGCCACAGTGTTCGCTAATAAGAATGAACTTAAAATTATGCCAAATGGCAGTCGAGTAAAACGATAAACTTGAATGTTTCCTGATATTTTATCTGGTTTGTTTGGATCAGCTAGCCATACAAACCGTGTTGCATCTCTGTCTGATTCTTGGAGTCCAACTTKAAGAAATGCTTTCTCAATGTCAGATATCATAGCGAMWGCATTGCAACGAAATCGTAGTAATAGTCCACTTAAATTCTCTAGCATCACTGGACCACGATAGAGACAATCGTTTAGACTGCAGTTCTTTTCATCGGTTTTCGCAGATGCATCGTATACAATCCGAACTTTTGTCGTTGTATTTGTAGGTGTGATGACTGGATGATGRGGWATATAATGTTTCTTTGTGTGAGTATTGTCTTCTTCAATGGTAATCTTCTCAATTACCCCTTTCTTTAGTTGRTCTTGTRTGATCGAGTCATACTGTTCAARYAATTGTGGTGTCCCTTTSAATCTCTTTACAAGTGATTTCAATCGTCCGACAGCCAGGCCATAGTTGTCGGGTAAGTCTTCTGTATTTTGCTTCCAAGGCCAAGTTGTGTAGTATCTTTTGTCTTCATACTTGATAGTTGTGCTGAAGTTACGACGTACAATATTATCTTCTGACTCTGTTTGTGGATCTTTGATTCCTATTGTTTCTAAGTTCCAGAATTCATTGATGTTTGGCTTTATGTGTAGTGAGTCATCTGGAGTAGTAAAATCAGCATTGTTAGTTGCAGCTGTGTCATTTCCAAGTGTSTTAACAAAGAGCGCTGGTGACTGCAATTCCGAAGTAGTGCATGAGTTTGTTGCTGTTCTTCCGGTTAGTATCCAGCCAAGTTTAGATCCTAGTAAATACAGTCCATCTTCCAGTTGTACTCTCATAGGCTCTATGAGATCTAAGTAGTAATCATTACCAATCAAAATGTCAATGTTCATAGTCTCACATTGGGTTGGCAGAGTATCAGCTAAAGGGATGCCTTGCAGTAAATGATTGTTGATTRTGTTAGCTTTGATTGGCATTCTGTRAACTTTGCCAGTTATTTCAGGAACAACATTAACAGAAAGGTCGATAGTGTTGTTGTCTTTCAGTGGTAGTTCTATAGTTGTTGTTGGTGTCTTGATGACAGTGCTTGATGAGTTGCCAAAGGTAACAAGTTTGATTGCTTCTTTCTTTCCAAGTTTAAGGTTTAGATCCTTAGCAAGTGTTTGTGTTATATACGATCTGTAGCTTCCAGAATCGAATAGTACCTTTACAGTTYTTGATGAGTTTGAGTTATTTGGATTCTTTACTTCTGTGGTGGCTGTTTGYATTATTACTGTATCTTCTRTTGCTAGGGTTGCAGGTTCACTGTTAGGTATGCCGTTGCTTGGTAAGTTCTCTGTTGCTATTGTTGATGCTTCACTATGACTTGGGAATTTCTGGGGACAAAGACTACGGTGGTGGTTATGTTTCTTTGAACAATGATAACATGGTTTAGTGATAGGGCATTCCTTAACCATGTGTTTTTTACTGAGGCAAATAAAACACCTCCCTTTGATCTTTGCCYTTCTTTCTTGTACAGTAGTATAGGTTGTACACTCATCTGACCAGTGACTGTTGTTGCRAAATGCACAAGTTATTTTCCTTGACAWTCCTGTATTGGTGTGGATCTCTGTAGCTAATAATGTTCCAGTAGTTGATGTCGTGGGGTTACTGATGAACTACTGTACTGTGAGGGAATAGTTGAAGTTGTTTTGTTTTCATTTTGAAGATTACTGTACTGTTTTAATGGTGCCAAGAAATGATCTTAAGCTTCTACTTCTTACAGTAGTTATTTTCTTCAGTTCAGTATAGTTAGTGTTTATAATTGCTTCTTCGTCACCAAATCTGTCCTTTAGAATTTTTACAGCTTCAGTATAGTTGCTGCTAGTAATACTAAGTCCACTTAGGGCCTCACTGGCCTTTCCGGCGAGTTTGCTCTTCAAGTAAGTAAATTTCTCTATGTTGGAAATGTTTGACTTATCAATGCATGTTTCGAATGAATCCCAAAATGTTTGGAATTCTGTCAGTTAACCATTAAATGACGGTATTTCAATTTTTGGGAGTTTTACCTTGTCTGATGTCTTAGTAGGTGATTTCTTCTCGTTCAATGCGGTCATTCTTTCAAGAAGTTCAGTCTGTGTTTGCAGTAGTTTCTCCAAGTGTGTAGCTTCCATATTCTTTGCTTCATTCAGTGAAATTTATAAATCAGTGAGTTCGCCTATTGTTTCAAGTATAATCTCCATAAACTTTGATGTTTTTTCTTCTTCTTCAAGTTGTACTTTCGTTTCAGATTCGTTGAGTTTCGCTGCTTTGACTTCTATGGCTAGTTTTTCACATATTTCTTCGAGTTTTGACAAGTATTCTTTTAGCTTTCTAAGTGAATTCGTTATCTTACTTTGAAGTGCGCTTTCATCTGCTGTTGATTCGGCTGTCAGTAGTGGTTTTGCTTTGTCTAATTCTTTTGCAAGTAAGTTTGAGTAGCGTGTTCTCATCCCCTTGAGATGAGACAGTGACATGGTGAGTTTTATCGATGGTTTCTAACTCAGTTTCTTCGTCAATCCTTCTGTAATCGTAATAGTTCTTTTCTTGAATGTCTTAACTATTGTTAAGGGTGAGTTTCGGCACCATGTGGCGAAGAGAAATGTTGGTACGAGTCTGATTTAATCGCGTCTTCGCCATACTTTAATTACATACAATCATCTACAATCAGTCCATGTGCTTTTACATACAGTATCCCATAATTTAATATACCAACAGGGAGCCCAATATATAATAGTGATTACGCGACAAAATTTACTGCATTTTGTTGTTGTTGTTGTTGTTGATATTTTATCCAATGTTTGCAATTTGTTATTTCAACCATTACAAAATGTTCAGTATATTTGACAGGTTAAAATGACCTATTTTTTAAGGTCAAAATAACCTATTTTTTTAGGTTAAAATAACAAAATGTAACTAAAAAAATGGTTTGTGTCAAATGCATTCGAAGTACTATTTTAATTGGTTACTTTAACTGTTGTGATGGTTATTTTAACCCTTTTGAAATGGTCAAAATAACTATCACAAGGTTGATATAACTAAAATAGTTGGTTATATTGACCTACAGAAATGGTTATTATGAATATTTATATTAGTCAAAATAACTAAATGAATTGGGTTGTCACAGATGCATTTAACAACCTTTTTCAACGGTTATTTTAACTGATCAGTGTTTACAGTGTAGAGAACGATGAGGTTTGATAGCCTTTACCGCAAGCTCTGTGCGTGATGTTTATTGTGACTATGCTTTTAATGATCTGTCAAAAACTGTTGTATATCTAGAGAGCTAATCTCGTTTCGTTTCGTTGAATACAGATTTCCGTTTCGTTTCGTTGAATACAGATTCCCGTTTCGTTTCGTTAAATACAGATTCTCATTTCGTTTCGTTGAATACAGATTCCCGTTTCGTTTCGTTTCGTTGATTATAGTAAGCCCTCATTTACATTTACATTTACAATTTAATACTAGACAACGGTTTCGCATTATAATTTAAAATCAAAAGATTAAAATGTGCACTGGAAGTGGCATCTTACCTGAATTAATCCATTATTTACTCGTCATGAATTCTCAAGATATCGTTCAGTCAGTTTTTTAACCTCTAAGCTTCAGTGAAGGGCGTCGAAGGTATATGATTTGACAGTCATCCAACGTACAAGTGAAAATACCGCCTCGKTGTGGCTTCAATCTTATAGTTTCGGCACAAACAAATTGAAAACATCATTGATAGCTTRSTATATCTTCTAGTAAATYGAAAACGATTTCAATACCACTTTGAAAATCAATTTTAGACAAATTGAATTRAATTCTGATAAAAGCAGCAGTGGCTACACATTCATTTTAAAAACGCTGACCATCAAAACAAGCTGTTTACACGTGCGCTTAAAGTACCACACAAAAATCGCAGCTAATGTAGCGCGTTGAATTTATAGACAAGTGTAAATTACCGCTCTTTGCATTGCTACGCGGCCACCCCAGACAAAATTCGTGACGTGCACTTGGCTTTAGACTGCCGTCAATCAAACATTTTGACGTCATTTTCTCGAGAAGGCGCCAAAACTTGTCGTTTGTTTACACCATTATGGTTGCTTCTTATCAATCGTCCCTTCGATGGAGGGTGATTTATTTAACTCAAGATGGACTAAGTATCAAGGAAATAGCSAATGTTCTACATGTGAGCAAAACGTTTGTGAAAAAAATCAGAGAGATTTATCGTAGAACGTCAGGAATAGATAGTCTGAGACGAGGCCGTAAACCCCGAGTTCTTGACGGTAAGTTACCGAAATTCCTTCGTATAAAGTAAAAATGTTTAATAGTTGTAGACATTCAACAGTTGTTGTACTTTCAACTTCATAGCGAACGGCATTCTTCTCGTAAAATCTATTATCGAAGATTACCCCGAGACATACGAAGATGAAATACAAGCCTGGATTGAGCATGTTACTGGGAAAATACTTCACGTATCAACAATTCATCGGTACTTGATAAAAATGGGCTATACCAGAAKAAAGSTACYGTTCATTTATATGGCTTCAAAAGTTTAGTCAATGGGTACTGTCTGTATTGTTTATTCGAGTTATCACAGAATTGTGTTGTGTTCTCGTTACATTACATGTAATATTGTTATTTGTTCCAGCTAAGTGTAATCGCAAAGCAACGCGATGAGCGAAGGCACACTCACTATCGTCGTATAATTGCGGACTTTGATAGCAGCCAGCTGATATTCATTGACGAGTCGGCAAGGGATGAAAGAACATTCCAAGTAAGTACAATGTACWGCCAAATAGAAGAAATAGCCTGTGAGAAGAGACTATTCAACAACGAACAAACCCTATTTTTTAATAGTTCATCGTTTTTATAGAGTATTGAAAGCAGAAATGACAGCAAAAATATAAAACCAAATAAAAAAAATGTATTTTGTTCGTTTATTTTAGAGGAGATATGCCCATGAACTCCGTGGAACGGGCCGTATATCAGTGAAAGGAAACTTCACACGTGGGACACGATACAGCGTTCTGAGTGCAATTAKTACCCAAGGCGTACAGGCCTCTCATACAATTGTTGGTGCGTACAACAGAGAGCAGTTTGAATTCGCTATGCAACATTTTATCATACCTTGTGTTGGCTCGGTTGCTCAAAAAGAACCGTGCTCTGTTGTCATTATGGACAACTGTAATATACATTACTCGAAGCTGTTTTTACAGCAATACGCAACAGAGGAGGCATTTTAATTTTTCTTCCGTGAGTAAAAATTTGTTATTGATAATTATTCCTTTATAATACGTAAAATGACAAGATTAGTTTTGTTTAAATTTGCAATTGAATTACTGTTTATGCCAATAGAGTGCACACCACAAAAGGGGCCGGTCGTTTGTTATCGGGGAGGGGGGCCGGTCAGTTTGTTGGGGGGTCACTTTTAAAATACCAGCAATTTTGGGGGGTCATTTTCAAAAAAATATTGCCGACCCCCCTCCCCTATAATAAACGACCGGCCCCTAAGCATGAAATAATTCTTAAGAGCCTGTCTCAGTAAAAACCACCCACTGATTTTTTTTTGAAAAATTATTTTTTCTCTAACTCTGGCTATTGAAAGACCTCACTGGGTTAGTGTCTGAAATGAAATTAGTTTGGTTCAAAAATCTATTTTGGCTTCGCCAGGAGCCGATAAANGTGATCTGAAGATCTGAAAAGGGTCTTGCATAGCTTAGGAGGAAAAGAGGCGGACACAAGAGCAAGTAAGTGGAATATTAATTGAAATAAACTCGTATACGACGACATACTGATTCGCTACTTCAATTCGAGAATTCCTCCGAAGTACACAAACAAAAACGGTCATAACTTTGCAAAAACTGAAAACGTACACAGGTTATTCGCTTTTGGTATCGTGGAAGGATAGAACTCTTTGATTATGTAGTTAAAAGTTTGTAGTTAGGTGCCACTTTTGCAATTCAAGCTCGTAATTTTGCTTAATTTTCAGCGCTCGCTGAATGTGTGTTAAGTAGGGCCCACAGTATGACGAATTTCTTGCTAACGACTACTTTGATGAAATAATGATTATCACGTAGTTAAAGTAGGAAGATTTATCTACAATTTGGTATAAAAAATGTTTCCAAACCATGCGGGATACTTTATGTAAAATGCTATGAAAATATGCTAAATTTTTGATCAGAAACAGCTTGTTGCTGACGTAAGCAGGCTAAGATCTTTATCGGCTCCTGGCGAAGCTAAAATAGATTTTTGAACCAAACTAATTTCATTTCAGACACTAACCCAGTGAGGTCTTTCAATAGCCAGAGTTAGAGAAAAAATAATTTTTCAAAAAAAAATCAGTGGGTGGTTTTTACTGAGACAGCCTCTTAACTATTTAGTGCTAAATAAGATCAACTAGTTATCAACTAAGAATTGAAAACAATGCTACAAAGGAATTTGGCATTGTGTTTATGCTTCATTAAATTCTTAGTTAGTTATTTAGCAATACATTGTTGGAGTAAGAATTGTTTCATGCTTATTTGTGGCGTGCACTCTGTCTATATTTCTTCCATTCACAATTTTACTTGCTGACAAATTCATATAGCAATACTGAGCATCTAAATAATCCTTCCTTAAATAAACTTCCCTTAAATTCAATGAATGGTGTGATAATGAAGTTGGTTTCAACATATAGCAGCCAGGGCTAGACATCGACAAGTGACTTGTAAAGCTATATCCACCCAATCTCATTTCACTTTTTTTCTGTTTCAGTCCCTATTCCCCAGATTTTAATCCAATCGAGTTGAGTTTCAGTGCTGGAAAATCGTGGCTAAGAAGACATCCAGGTGTGGGTCAAGTGTATCCTAAAAGATGTTTTGAAATGGCTCTAGACCAGGTAAATATTATAAAACACATTCAAAGTTATGAAAACACAATGATTTTCAAGAGTGTCAAATAGTGAACCTGTCAATTGATACCAGAAATTTGTTTCAAATGATTGTGTCCATTTGCTCTTTTTGGACATGCTGTACATAGGTACCATAATTTATATTCTCTGTTGAAAGTGTCGTTACATATATAAGCATAATATTTATTTTTTCATTATAGCTCACCCAGGCTGCCTGTATTGGATTTTTTGAAGGCTGTGGATATTTCTAGTAAATGCATA